ATCGACTATCTCCGCTCGAAAGCTAATCCACCAAGCTCCTCGTGCTCTTCCTCTTCTTCCACAATCTCGTACTCAACCTCAGAATCAGGATTGCCCTCCATATCAACATCTACTATATCACCGTCTGGACATTGAATATCTAGCAGACCCTCTCCCACAAACGGGACGTCGGCGGACCTGATGGCACCGAATTCTACTCCAAAACGATCCCGGAAACACCAGACTAGGTACTCGTGAGTCTCAAAGTGAGCTAAGCCTACGTCTACCCATACTAAAGCATAGTGTCTATAGTACTTCTCCCCGTTCCCCACGGGGTGCACGGTCAGCGTACGCTCTATATGATGGGGAATCCCAAAGCGTAACGGTGCATCGTCGAAGTTCATGGCGGGAGATCTGAAAAGTCGGTTTTACCACAACCGTGAGAAAACTCAGCAAGTAAAAACCATTAATCCTAAACTAGGCTAATGTGCACCTCCAGAGGGTAAATAAAACACATAAATAGATAAATAAACCAGTATAACAATCAATATAAGCTCACCCGGGCCCACAGCCCAATTCACTACTCTGCCCTGCAGGTTAGACTTTTAATATCAAAATAAAACATATTCACTTAAATCGACCCGAAGGCCACGACCCGAAGGCCACCATTTATCCCGACCCGAAGGCCACAATTTATCTCGACCCGAAGGCCCGACCCGAAGGCCACAATTTATCTCACTACAACCATGTACATCAATGCGTCCAATATTGATCAATCAACGTCACGGGAGATGAATACAAGCCAAGGCACTCAAGGTTAATCGCCCACACTAATATACCAAGCATACTCATTCTCGACTTAGACGCATTCAACTCATCCTCAAGACAATCAATATACTTCCGTTCTCACCCAATCCACTCGACAATGATTCGCACCTTTATTACAATTCAATGTAATGCACCTAAGGCCCGCCTTGGGTAAATCAAACTTAGTCCTCATTCTCATTGGTACGGGGTCACAAGATAGGATTTATATAAGTCCTAAGTAACCTCTAAAAATGCCTAATTCCTTGCCATCAACCAATGACTCAACTAAGTATTCAACTTGGATAAATTGCACAAATTCGGTACTCAATGAACAGTACCAGGGGAGGACACATTTTGCCCACTAAACCACAATTAAACACCCTCATTAGGCTCTAATCTCAAACCCCAATCACCCAACAACCAAATCCACTTAATTAAGGTTCAAATAAGCCTAAATAATCCCCAAAATGTCCACTTCCAAGTCATTAGTACTTGAGCTTAATTAGTGCCACACTTAGACAATTTTACACAATTTCGGAGCCCCATGAACAGTACCAGGAAAAATTCACATTTAGGTACTAAACCACCTTTAAACCATCTCATTAGGGCCTAATCACTTACCCTAACATCCAGCCACCAAATACACCTAATTAAGCCTCAAATGAGCCTAATTAACACCTTAATTAGGCCTAATTAACCCCTAAAAATGCACAATTAAACTAATTTGGGGTTTATACTCGCCTAAAATCGACTCGAGGCGACGGGAGCGGGCGGTCGATTACCGACACGCGGTGAGAATCGACGGCGGCGCTCCGGGGGCAAGCCGGCGGTCACGGCGGCGCCGGTGTGATTCACGGCCACACACCCAACCGGAACAGGGGAGCTGCTGGGCGTACGGGCTGAGGATGGTGGAGAGAGAGACGGTGAGGGTGAGGTGGTCGACGAGGGCGGCGCACGGCGGTGGATGGCGGCGCGGTGCCGGCGAGGTGAAGACTGGCGGTGTTTCTCTCTCTCTCTCTCGCTTGGAACAGCTGCTGTGGGGCGGACAATGCAGAGGGTGGGGCTGGTCGACGGAGGCTGGGGCGGTGCCAGGGGGTGCTGTGCGGCGGCCAGAGGTCAGCAGCTCCGGCGGCGCGGCTGTTCCGGCGTGAACAGTGGCCGGTGGAGCAGAATGACCGAGGAGCGGCGTGAAGACGACGATCGTGAGGCTGCTCGGGAGAGAGAGAGAGAGAACGTGAGCTGAGAGGGACTGAGGAGAGAGAAGAAGCAGGTCAAAAGTGGTCAAACTTGGGTGAGTGGAGTCCAAGTGTCAACAATCCAAAGGTTTGGACAATTTGCCCTTGAATCCAATGGCTTAGGTTCACTCCTCTCCAATAATTCAAGGGTATAATGGACAAATGCCCCTAACCAAGGCTGACCAGGTCTGGTTTGGTCTACTTAACCTTAGTTAGTCCCCAAATTTTATCCAAATTTCGGAATAAATTAAAATGGCCTAGGGGCATTTTCGTAATTTTCCGATCCCGGACCGAAATTTCAATTTTTGTCCATACCGGTCCTATATGTTCATGGGAGACATAATACGGTGTCGGATTCGCGAAATTCACTTTCTACGCCTTCGAAAATCGCCTGCGAAGTCCCGGGAATAAAATAATATTATTTTTCCAATTTTTGCCGAAATTCCCGTTTTTGTCCAAAACCATTCTAAATGTACGTGGCCACTCCAAAATGACCTTGGCCGCGAAAAATAACCTCAAACGGCCTCCGAATCCTGCCCCGGTGCCCACGGGGGCAAAACCGTAATTTTCCCAATTTTTGTCGAAATTCCTATTTTCAGCCGTTCTTGTCCCAAACTTACTTGGCCACTATAAAATGACGTCCGTCCTACAAAATAGTCATAATTACCCTTGAAATTTTGATATCGGAGTTCGGCTCAATATCGCGATCAAAATAGCTCGTTTTGAAATCTTAGGATCTCTCACTAACGGGTGGCTATTTAGGTGTTACGCGTATCGACCTAAGACTGTCCGAGTCTCGATAGTCTCAAATCTCGAGAGAAGGTGAGAGATTATCACTAGTACCGGGGGTCGCGATCGTTCGGATAAAATTTGGGATTTGTTTGTCAGGCGTACTTTCGGTCGTGCGGAATCACCCGCGATCCAATCGTACGTTACTAACTATATCACATCCATTATCTTCCTAAGATCGGCCCATATTGGCTCAAGATATTCTCTCGACGTTTCTCGAAATCAGTGTCCAATCGCGATCGGTTTCTCGGTCCACGTACCTGTTCCTATTTAGTCTTTCCCATTTGGTTAGTATCCCGTGATTGATCAAGTCCGGGCGAGACTCACTAAATTCACACGAGAATTAATATACGCTTTACTGGTTCCGATAACGGGTCAAAATTCAGGATGTTACACAATTCAATAGTTCAAATGAACCCCGTATACGCACTCCAATTCATATCATAATTAGGAAATATTAAATATGCGATAAATTTTATTCATTGTTGAATATGACCCACTTATTAATGTTCCAATTCATATCATAATTAGGAAATATTAAATATGCGATGAATTTTATTCATTGTTGAATATGACCCACTTATTAATGTTCGCTTACAGTTTGTCATATCATTTAATAGATTGATTTTTTGAACTAGTAGTAGTCGACCTAGAATTGCTTGCCATAATTTTTCCAAGCGTGACTTAACTTATTTCACTTAATATGATCACCGAATGGAGATATGAGTGCGTCTTTTTCACGAGGAAGCAATTCTTGTTGAATATCTGTTATTCGTGTAATGTGATTATTAGCTTATATTAACGTGATTACAAAGTGTTTTCAAATAAAAAAAGGATTAAAACGTGTCAATTTCGATTTAAACAGTAATACCGTCACATCATTTAATATATTATTTTTGTGAATCAGTCGTAATATACCAAACATCGCTTGCTATAATCTTTCCAAGTGCAACTTATTTCACTTAACCTGAACATCAAATAGAGATATGATTGCGTCATTAGACGGGGAAGCAATTCATGTTGAACTGTCTGTTGTTCGTGTAATGTGATTGTCATTTTATATTAATGTGATTACAAAGTGTTTTCAACTAAATATGAGTCAAAACATGTCAATTTCGAGTTAAACAGTAATGTATTAATTTGTCAAATCATTTAATTTTCGATAAGATATCAGATTATGATAGGCCATGAAATGAGTCAACGGGAATAAACTCTTGTGTGGGTTCTATTTGGTGACTACTTTGTGGCTGTTTGTATTCGTTTTGGTTGGTTTGTTGTATAAGTGGCAGCTTAAGAAGTTTGATGGCGAGGGTCGGGGTCACCGAAGCTTGCCGGCCATTGTGAAAAGGAAAAAAAAAGAAAAGAGAAGAAAAGAAATAAAAATATAAAAAATTTAAAATTTAAAATATTTTAAAAATTGAAAAAAAATTGTCCACATTAGCATCAACTTTCGCCAGTCATGTTACGTAAGACGGCTGGTAAGACGGCCGGTGTCCACGTTAGCAATTTCCTGCCAAAATTGGCTGGATGAACCACATTTGCAAGTTGTTAAAATGTCTAGAATTAAATTGGCTAAGTTGAAAAGATTATGATTGAATTAGCACAAACATAATAGGTTATGTACTTTTTTGCTAAGTATCCCTATTTAAGTGGGTATGAGGATGGAACCAATTTTTATTCAACATTAAACTTCTCAAACCAGCACTAATACAACAAATCAACCAAACGAGTACAACCGGCAACCAAGTGGTAGCCAATTCACGTTGACTCATTGGATGGCCGAGCACGTATAAAAACATTTGAAAAAATTACAAATTTGGGGAAAGTTGTTTAAAAAATCCTAAACCTATTACATTTTTGTCAACTTAGTCATAAACCTTTCAACTTTGTCAATTCAGTCCATCCAGCCAATTTTAACTGGCCGACGCTGACGTGGACGTCGGCCATAGCATCGTTTGTTAATTAAAAAAAAAAACAAATTTCCTATATAATAAACAATAAGTACAGGAGAAGAACATCGATCATGTAGGATTTATAAATACTTCATCAAAGGTGAAGGGCGATCTACTTTGGTGGGATGGCGTGTGAGCAATTAATTGAAGAAAGATTTCAGACCGCCGCTGTCCATTGTTGACATTGTTCGAGACGCGATACGTGTGAGCAAACTAGAGCGAACTACGTATCGCAAACTAGAGCGAACTACCCGGCCTTTGTCCGTTTCTCCTTGGACTAAGCCAAACTACCTGGCTTTTGTCTGTTTCTTCCCTAGACTAGCTCGAGTGCACGCGTGCGTGCTGGGAAATTTCTCTTGCATTTTTTATGTATTGATATACTGAAAAGGCTACATATAAATCAGTGGGCATGATGATCAATGAAGATACATTCCTGTTATGTTTTCCTTTTAATTCTTACACTTCTGTACATATATATGTGCTGGTGGATATAGAATTCCGGTGTGGGTCGCAACTAACAAGTCAGTCGGTCGGCACATAATCACTGATCAGTTCTCGTGCTGAAAATCCCTTCAACTTCAAGGGCTTTGGCACGGTGCCGTAAGGGTTTGCACAGCCACCATTATGTCGAAGAGAGAAAAAGAACAACAAATCGGTGGATGATGAACAGCTTCTCGTGCAGGCCCTCACGGCACATTCTGATTCAGGCAACTTTCGTTTTCAGCAGATTTTTCCCTTGATTTTTTTTTTTTTTGCAGATTTTTCCTTAGGTACGAATGGCCGGAGGAGGAAACCAAGACCAGATCAACCGAGAAATGGACCGCCATGTGATCGGGGTGCCGAGCAAATGGTCATATTCCATGGAGATGCGGTTCAAGCAATGGCCGACTCTTCTGAAACCCCCTGCCAGTAAGCGCTCCTGCTGCATTTTCAGAGCCCCACAAAGCCTGCTTCAGATCAACGAGAAGGCTTACGAGCCCCAAATCGTCTCCATCGGTCCATACCACCATGGCCAACAGCGGCTGAATATGGTCGAGCAGCACAAACCTCGATTCTTCTCCACTCTCCTCGAACGAACTAAAAATAGCGGCGTGGGCCTTGACAACTATTTCAAAGCCATTGCATCGAGGGAGAATGACATTCGGGATTGCTACTCAGAGCTTCTTCATTGTGAAAGCTCGGCTCTCGTGGAGATGATGGTCCTCGATGCCTGCTTTATTGTCGAGATGTTCCACATCTGTGCGGGAGTATTTGAGCCTGATCCCGACGATCCTTTCTTCGCAACGCCATGGATGTACATCATCCTCATAAGGGACCTTCTGCGGATCGAAAACCAGATCCCTTTCTTTGTCCTTCAAGAGGTTTTCAACTTATTGAATGGCGACACTGAGAATGAAGCCAACCAACGCTCCCTCAGTGAGCTCGCGCTACTATTCTTCAACATCGCGGCTCAAAGGCCAGAGGGACAACTGGAGAAGTTCTACAAGGTAAGCAAAGCCAAACACTTGCTTGACTTGTTCCGACTGAGTCTTGTCGGCCATTGGGATGTGGAAAAAGGTGTACATGTCAATGACGACTGCTTAGAATTGATCCCCTCAGCGAGGCAGCTTCTTCGCTCCGGGATTAAATGCAAGCTGAGGAAGGGTGACAACTTGAACTTACTGGACATCAATTTCAATCGTGGTGAACTTCAAATCCCTCGTTTGACTCTAGACGATTTCATGAGCTTCTTCTTACCCAACTGCATCGCCTTTGAGCAGTGTTACTGCTACTCCTCCAGGCACATGACCAGTTACATCATCTTCATGAAATGTCTCGTGGGCACAGAAGCGGATGCAGAGCTCTTATCTGAGAACCAACTACTAGTGAATTATTTGGGATCGAATGCAGAGGTCGCGACTTTCTTCAATGATCTGGGTAAGGACATTGCTTTTAGTATCAAGATAAGCTATTTGGCCGAGTTATTTAGGCAAGTGAACAGATACCACCGAAGCCAATGCCGCATGACTTGGACGGGGTTCAAGAACAAATACTTTGGTAGTCCTTGGTCCTTCATGTCGGCTATTGCTGCCATTCTACTGTTGGGTCTTACCGTCCTTCAAGCATTTTATGCGGTCTATGGGTATTACCGTCCCCGGAAGTAACTGACACTCGGCAACGCATTTTTGGGGAGACATGAACCTAGGGCAAAATTTGATATATGTTTTGAGGTTCTTTTTTTGTTTTGTTCGAAATGTTTTGAGGTTCTAGATGGTTTGAGTACAGCCACGAGTCTTCTTGACAATAATGCTAATGGTATTTTCCCCCTTGGTGCTGTAGCTCATTTGTCAGTCTTCCATCGTCTAAGTAAGTTTTTCTCCTCAAAAGATTGTGGTCACAGCACATATCAACGGTCTGTATTAATTTGGCCTATAGAAAATAGTTCAAGAAACATTTTTTTCGTCAACCATCTGTACGAAAATCATGCTTAGTTACATCCTCCTCCAATGCTATGTCCAACTCTACATCAACCCCCTTTTCAATTCCGATTTTTGATAGCAGCAACTCTGGCTGTCTACCACAATTATTGGAATTATTTCTACCTAAGGCTACTCTGGCAAATAGGTGATTGGGAAAACTAACTAAAGCTTGTTCTCCAATTCTGACTTGACAACAAAGTGATCAAATTCTTCAGAAAATAGGTTTTTCAAAGATGGATTGAATGATGGATATATTAAAAAGGCATGCCAGCTCTTGAGAGCAAAGTGAGAAATGGAATTTGCTAGATTGATTTAAATGACAACAAGTAAACTGCTTCAAAAGTAAATTCGAAGGAACGGAAAATCAAAGGAAATTAAAAGAACAGTACAGAAATCAAAGGAATGAAATTAAAGGAAATCAAAGCGAACAAGAAAAGAAATAATTGGAAAGCAAATTCGACTGGAATTGAAATCGAAGGAAAGTTACAAATCCCTCAATTGGAAATATTGAAACGAACATTACACTAGTATTCATAAAGGCACATTATGAATTATATATGTGACATTCCGAATTTCGACCCATTTTTGAAATTTATAAAACGTGTAATTCGTCAGTGTGCTTATAGTAAAATCTCGCCCGGGAACTGATCACTCTCGGTTATCGTTTTCAAATTGAGATTTCGCTATAATTGCATTCGATCGAATTTGGCCGTTATTTAGAGCTCGAACTTTGGTGTCGAATTTTTGGAGTTTCGTGACGAATTAAATTGGACGGTGTCGATATTATTGTGGCCAGCCTTGAGTTTGCCTAGATCAGTCGGAAAGTGAAAATTTGGACCGGGTGCGGATTTTGACCGGTAGACCTCCCTCTAGGTTTATTTTATTTAGTATCCGTTGGTTTTTCCTTAGTTTATAATTAGAATTTTTAGTGAGCCGTTAGATCGTTTTCGGGTTCGAACGTGGATCGTTGGATCGCGATAATTACCGTTGACTCTCTGTCTCTCCCTCTCTCTCTCTCCTCTCCTCCTTTCCCGCCGAACACCCCACGCTTGCTGACCCTCACGTGCTGCTTCTTCCTCTGCATGATTACTTCTACTGCTGACTTCTTCTGCTGACTTTGCTGCTGCCCCACGTTGCTGACCTCCCCATGCAGCTGCCATGATGGACTTCCCTGCTGCTTCTGCTGCCGTGTTGCTTCTGCTCCGCCCATGCCATTTCTGGCTTGCTTCTGCTTCTGCACTGCTGATTGTTTCTGCCTCTGTTTCTGCTGACTTGCTGCTGACTTCTTGCTGCACCTTCACGTGTGCTTTGCTGACCATTGACCCATGCTGCCCCATGCTGCTTCACGTGCTGCTTCTGTCCATCATTGCTGCTGCCGCTGCTTCTTCTTCTCTTTCGCTGCTTCTTCTTCACTTCTGTTGCTGCCGCTGCTTCTTCTTCTCTTTCGCTGCTTCTTCTTCACTTCTGTTGCTGCTGTTTTCTTCTTCATTTTGCTTCTTTGCTTCTTGCTTTTTCTTGCTGCCGCTCACCAGACCGACCAGCTCCCTTGCTCAGCCACCCTCAGCCACCGTGAGTGCCAGCGCTCGCCCGTCCAGCTACTGTGAGCTCAGCTCACTGCCGGAGTTGCTGCTGCCTCTTCTTCTTGGTTTGCTTGCTTAGGATTCCTAGTAAGTGGCTTCCTAACCCTTGACTAGGCTAAGGGGTGACTAATGGACATGTTAGGGATGGTTTAAGGGCTGTGGATAGTTGGTTTAGTGGCTGGTTGTGCTTGGTTTGCTTGGTGGTGCTTGTTGGTTAATTTCCGGTAAGGTTGCTGCTGCGTCGCTGGATTTTGCTATTTTTATTGTGACTTGTGTGGGCCGAATTTGAGGAATTGTTCTTCATAAAAGTTGTTCATAATATCTTGAAGTTTGACATATATTAAATCTGGAATTTTTGGAGATCATTTAGTTCCATTCGTAAGTCCATTTTTGGACCGAATTCAGTCTGCCGGATTTACTGTTCATCCGACCATCTGGTCTCTCCGATTTTCTACAAATTTTTCCAGACCTCTTTTCAACAAACTTCCTTCACAAAAATTGTTAAGAACATTTGTTTCTATGACATATAAAAATTTGAAGGCTTTCCAAAATGATTTGGGTACTGGATGAGATGCATTTTGATGGTCAGGCGGCCTGACTGGACGGGTTGAATTTTGTCTGACTTCAAGTGACAAAAAATGGTGTTTACAGTAGGAACTGGGTTTCGAGTTCTTCACGGAAAATGTTTATAAAGATGTTTTATGCGACATATCCAAATTTCAGAATTTTTGGAGTTTATTTACTATTTATTTTAAAGGAAATTCGGTGACTATGTTATTTCCCAGTTTGGCCCCGATTCTGTGCATACTCGGTTTTTCTCTCTCTCGGGAACTGATCGGTGTTACCATGACATTTTGGTGGATTTAGTTGACATTGGGCTAATTTACAAAGATAAGAATTGGTAATGATTGTTGAGGTGTGTGCATGGTCACGACACGTTCCGTCTAGGCGGGAGTTCTAGACGATGCCCGGCGGGAGTTCGGATGCCGTCTAGGCGGGGGTTCTAGACGTTGCCGATCGCGGTAGAGGCCGGATCGATGCTCCTTTGTGGAATGCCGTCTGGGCGGGGGTTCCGGACGTTGCCGTTGCCGAAGTAGCGGGACGATGCCTGGTTACGCCAGAAGACCGGCGAGAGTTCGGTGGCCCAAGGGGTCGTTAATAATCTGGACTTAATGAGTGCGATTTGCATTGGGGAATGCTTTGCCTGAGTTAATTGATGAGCACGTCTGGATTATTAACCATGTTATGCTTGATCATGCCATGAATTGCTTTGCGCGTGCTTGATGGGCAATTGGCCATGTTATGGCGATATTCTAACGTGCAGGGCTTGTGTATGCGCCAAGGCGAGGTAAGGACGCCTGTGATTGTTTATGGCACGTCGATTGTTTGAATCGCATGTTTAGAATTGTTCGGAAGTACACTTTGGCCTAAGCGAGGCTTAGGTAGTTGCTTATTGAGAAGTGTTCTCATGGTTATATAACCAAACCATTTTAGACCCGCGACCGTGATTGATCCGGAGACGCTACCAGGATACTATGGGGATTGAGGATAGGTCGAGTTACCCCGTCTTTTGAGTGCACCTTTTTGTAGAGGAGTTAAGCTTACCAACCACCCGATCCATGTTATTATGCGTGGTTCGTAGATAGTGGCCTCGTAGAAGGCTTGCAAATGTATGTGTTGTAATCGATGTTATGTTTATAAAAATGTCTTGTTGATGTGTTTTCTTTGTCTCTCTACTATCCCGTTGTTTATATGTTGTACGGAGAGTTCGAGGTTGCTTCCGCATGCGTTACTCGTTAGTGTTTCGATTGGGTCGGCGACAAGTCCTGGGCTGTCGCGTACATTACGACCACAAAGGGATGATCGCGCACTCGTAGGGTTCGGGGCGTGACAATATAAGTTTAAACCTATAACTGAAATTAAAATGGAAAAACATTGCTTCTAAAGGAAAATACTGTAGAGGGAAATTTGGCAAAGTTTGGGCATGGCTTGAGTGTGCCTTCTTCTTCTATTCTTTCTATTTATAATCCTTGGATCTCCTTAAATGGTTATTGAATTTCATGGGCAAACCTCTTCTAACTACTCCATGTTTCTATGATTTCCTCCATTTCTCATGATCTTAGTAACTTCCATGTCCCTCATGCAATCGTGGATTGATCATTCTCACTAATTGGAGCCAATTTTACTCAATCAATGACCCCATCCTTTGTGCAATTCAAATAGGTCAAAGTGTCTACCACTAAGGTGGTTTGCCTAGTAGTAAATTGATCACCTGTCTTCCATGAGATGTCTCCCAGCTTTATGCTTCTTCTAAAGTTTAATTACTTTAAATAATTCCAAAATAGTATATATTTAAAGATTAATGAAAAAGCTTAGAGAGCAAAAGTTCATTTTGTACTCCTCTACCTAGAGTTTGATTAGTCTAATAAACATTAACTTTTAGAAAATGAAAGATATAAAAAGAAAAACCTTTAATTGCTAAACATTTTCCGTTTCCGACACTATTCTTTGTTAGTAAGTCTTATAAGAGATAATGAGGTGAAAATAAAACAAAGTCCATTAATCTAAAATCTTTCTATCGTTTGATTTAAACATTTTGTTAATAAGTCAGTCCATCCAATTTGAAAAGATACAGATTGGAAATCACAATTAAACTGAAGTGTGATTGGTAGGGCAAAATATCATTCTTTTTCAGAGTGCTATAAAAATCTAGAATTGATAAAATAAATAAAGGGATTAGTATGAGTCATACTGTATGACGACGTTGTACGGGGAGGGTATGAATTTGTCCTAAAGAGAGACAACCGCGGAGATGACATCGCACTTCTCGCGGCAAGTGCCAACACACCTCCCTTTTCTTTTGTCTGCTCTAATATTTACTTTCTCTTTTCTACATTGCTAATGAAAAGTGCAATAATGACCAGAACCATACCATTTTCCTCGTAACTTTAATTGAAATCAGATTAAAAAGGAAAAAACCCCTGCTAGGGGGTTGAAGGTACTGGGGGCGGCACCGCTACCCCTTACTTCACCGGCGAGGGCTCACAACCCCTCGCTCACGACCCTAGGATTCCCCATCGACACCTCATGGCATTATGCAGTATTGGTAAAGGCGACACGCAGGTTTAAGTTGTGGACTGGCAACTTTGTTGAAGTTGTAGCCTTGCCTCCAGCCCTTCATCGCGGCATCGTAGTCGCGGCCCTCTCGGTCACCTTGATCTCTGCTCTTCCTCTGGCCCTCCCTCGCAATTGCAGCCTCGCCAAGTGCCTCCGGCCCTCCCTTGCAGTCGCGGCCTCACCTTTGGCCAACACTTTCGTGATAAGGGAACTGTGGATCTCATTTGTATGTGTCACTTTCGTAGCCTCACCTTCGACCATCACTTTTGGTTCCACTAATTAGTTTCTATTCCCCTTTTGTGCAGTTGTTGAATGCTGGTTCCCTGGCTCACTCGGGAACCGGACCGGTCGGTCAGATTTGAAGACTAGGTGGGCCAATTCCCGATTCTACAAATTAAAATCCCACCTTTTTGGTTCGATTTCCGGTTCCAGAGCGAGAGCACTCCTAAAAATTAATCCAACCGAGACATTGGTTTCCGTAGTCTGTGCTGGATCAGCATCTGTAAGTGCGACGGACTTTCAGGGTAATTGCTTTCTCAATGGTGTCACCCATTCTTCCGTTACCAAAAAGTCCACTCCCAAGTCCACGGAAAATGATTTCTCATGTTTAGCTGTATTTTCCCATTTTCTTCCCTCTTTCCCTTACTTCTTGTGTTTGCTGTTGTTCTTGCTTTGATCAGATTAATATGAACTGTATACCTTCACTAGCCATTGACATTGCTGCAGCACCCGAATTGCTTGGACACTTTTTGTGATGAGCTATAGTTAGGGGTGAGAGATTCCAAGTTTCATACGGATTCTAACTTGAACCTAGAACTTACTCGTTGGAATAGGTACTTCATTTTTTGGAATATGGAACCTACCATGCATAACATAAAATCCGGAACCTACCCTATCAAAGGTTCCATGGTCTTCCTAGATTCCACATGTATTATTAATTGAACGATTGCCGTGAATCATTATCTTTAATTATCATTACTTACTGTATAATCCATTGACCATAACTTATATTTAGACACATGAAGAATATGAAACATTAACAAAGTAAAAGTCTTAGTCATAAAATGGAAGCTGATACTAGTGATTTTAGATTATACACCCATCATCAAACGCTATGGAATACCGCAGGATCACGGGGAGACAAAGACCAAGAAAAAATCAAAAACTTGTTCTAGGTTTCACTTATCTAGAACCTGGAATCTACCTGTCGAAACAGATTTATCAAGTTTGGAACCTGGGACCTACCTTACATACTGTAGAACCTGGAACCGAATAGGTTCCCACTGGTCCGGTTTTCCATTTTCAAGTTCTATCCTAGAACCATGCTCACCCCTAACTACAACCTCCGTCAATCATGTCTTTTATTCGCGATTTAAAGTTACGAACCACCCCCCCCCTCCTCCTCACAGGTGCAAGTGCATTGGAGCTATCCTAGTGAGAAACAGACAAAGGCCGGGTAGTTAGCTCTAGGTTGCTCACATGCATGGCGTGCCTCCCCCCCCCAAAAGGTGCAGGTGCATTGGAGCTATCCTAGTGAGAAACAGACAAAGGCCGGGTAGTTAGCTCCAGATTGCTCACATGCATGGCATGTTAATTTTATCTCATAAAATGGAAGCTGATACTAGTGGTTTTAGATTATACACCCATCATCAGACGCTATGGAATACCGCAGGATCACGGGGAGACAAAGACCAAGAAAAATTCAAAAACTTGTTCTAGGTTTCACTTATCTAGAACCTGAAATCTACCTGTCGAAACAGATTTCTCAAGTTTGGAACCTGGGACCTACCTTACATACTCTAGAACCTAGAACCGAATAGGTTCCCACTGATCCGGTTTTCCATTTTCAAGTTCTATCCTAGAACCATGCTTACCCCTAACTATAACCTCCGTCAATCATGTCTTTTACCGCCCCCCCCTTCACAGGTGCAGGTGCATTGGAGCTATCCTAGTGAGAAATAGACAAAGGCCAGGTAGTTAGCTCTAGGTTGCTCACATGCATGGCGTGCCTCGCCCGTCCCCCGTGCCCCCCCCCCCTGTTGGAGTTGGCGAATACTTCGGGGACCCTTGTTTCTCACACCGGGTACACCCACGTGAGCTTAGGGAAACTGAAGTGTTGTCCAACGACATGTGACCCATGCGTGCGGAATGCGGGGGTTCGGGGGCAGCGCCCCCGACACGGGTGCCCCGCTGCCCGGTCGAGAGGGGGGGTTCGGGGGCAGCGCCCCCCGACGGGGGTTCCGCTGCCCGGTCAGCGGACGGCTGCCCCGCTCGCCGGTGAGCGGGCGGGGGCTCGGGGGCAGCGCCCCCGAAACCTCAACGGGTTTGGGCTGGCCCGTATAGTGCGAGATTAAGAGATTTCATATAGGTTTAGGTTTTGGGCCCGTTTGGGGCATATATATATTTTACTCGTTTTCTCGATCATTGTAACGAGTTGAGTGGTCAGTAAACCGAAAACATAGTGAAATCTCTTTGCAGGACGTAACCCTAATCGAGGGTGAACCTGGGTAAATTCGTGCATCGTCTATTTTCTCTGTTTTCTGCGTGATCGTTCTGTCTCGGTTCTCGACACATCCCTTCATCCCCCCCGCCGCCGCCGCCGCAAAAGGTGCAGGTGCATTCGAGCTATCCTAGTGAGAAACAGACAAAGGCCGGGTAGTTAGCTCCAGGTTGCTCACATGCATGGCATGTTAATTTTATCTCTAGCTCACCTAATCCTCTCGGCACATGTGTCGAGCAATTATTAATAAATTTAACAAATAATTCCGCCCGAAGAATAATTTATTTGTGCAAAAGTAATTGGATACATTTGATCTAATGAATTATATAATCACGTGATAAAATATAATCATATTCACATCAGAACTCACGAAACGAACACTACTATGTAATTGTGCGACGAACACGCTACCATTAACCCGCTATTCAAAAACTAGTAAATTATATCGGATACCGTCTCTTCTGAAGCTTCATCAGAAAAAGTCAGTTCACAAAACTAAATTTATTCTATGATGTGGGCGCTGAATAGCGATCTAAATCTTTTTCAATAATTTTTTTGTTTTTGCTGACTTCGGAAGTCTTCTAAGTCAACATGTCTACTCCTGTACCGACCAAAAAAAAAAAAAAAACATACCTACCCCTACGTTGTCCGTAAATTTATATCGGAGATAAGCTCTTCATAGCTCACGTGCATCAACCATCGGATGGGATCGCCCGTCACCTTCCGTGTAGTGCGACTCCACAGTCAATTTAAAAAATGATAGTCCATGTCCGGCTCCACACCTTCCTTAAATTACTTATAATAGCAGTTCATGTGAACAAGTATGTCAAAATTACATGGATCCTAGGTGTGAAAGTATGAGCTTTGACCTCATTATTTGTTGTTGAATACAATCTATTTATTAATGCCTACCTACAATCAGTCACGTCATTTAATGGATTAACCTTGTGAACCAATCATAGTATACCATCCTTGTTGCCTGCCATAATTTGTCCAAGCCCGGTTTAATAACTTTACTTGATCATTGAATGGGGATATGAATGAATCATTTTCTTGAGGAAGCAATTCATGTTGAATTATCTGTTATTCATATCACGTGATCGTTATCTTATATCAACGTGATTACAAAGTGTTTTCGCATAAAAATGTATAAAAACGTGTCAATTTAGAGTTAAATAGTGTTAAATCAGATTTGGATTTCTCTTAGTAAATAGGTTTACACAAATTTGTACCTTATTTGGATGTTTTTGTACGTGTTGGGCCATGCAATGACTGTACGTGAATTAAGTCTTGTGTGCGCCGTTTTTGGCGACTACTTGGTAGCTGTTTGTACTCGTTTTGTTGGTTTGTTGTATTAGTAGTGGTTTGAGAAGCTTAATGGTGAATAGAAATGGTTCCATTCCCGTTCCTATTACATGTTCACGCAGTCATATAGCTCTTGTCAAAGGGAACGTAGATTTGTCATATATATTTCGCTCGTTCGTAGTTACGTCAGGTGTAATCGCATTCCATTCCATCATTTTCACATATTAAAGTAACACGTCTAAATAAAAGAAGCATATTTGTAGGAAATGATAGATCTAAAAGAAGATGGTCCATCCCATCGCACCGTGTGATTGGGCAGCAAATATAGAATTCATGCTCAAGTATCAAACCACGGGCATCCTATCTTCTTCAGTAAATATTATTTGGTACAGTCTCTTCTGAAGCTTTGTCAAAGAAATTTAATGCAGAAAATGAATATAGTATATGATGAGAACGCTCAACAGAGATCTAACTTTTACAATTAATTTCTCCGGTGACTTCGAGGTTCATGCAAGTCAACGAAGTCTCCCAAAATAATTTCTTGGTCGCTATTTAGGCACCAGGAACCCGACTCCCAAATTCGTCCACCGCCACAAAGCCATTCACTCTTGATCCCCGCTATGTCTCTGTCGCATTCCCAGACCCAGAACAGGAAGAAGAGCCGTGGGACCTCCGAGGTCTTCGATTCTGAGACCATCGTTCCTCAGCCTATGCGCAGAGCCATTGGTGATGATGATACGACGAACGGAGTTCATGTCGACGAGGAGGAAACATTGGAGAAGGGGGCAGACGGTAATGCATGCGAAATGTCCGACAAACTGCAGGCGAGAGCCAAGTGCGTGTTTGGTGAGATCGTGCGGAACATGCTGAACATGCTCAAGGAAGCGTTTCTGTTGAGGTGTTTCGGGCTGTTCCCGAAGCTTCCCTGCAAGTCACAGAGAGTGATTGAAACCAAAGTGAATGACGTGTTTTCCCCATCCGAGGAGGCTTCCGCCACACCGAGCGCTTCGGAATCGCCCTTGGCCGATCCGAACCTGTCTCACGATTGTGCCCTTCATCCGAAGACGTTCAGGGTGAGATTCCCGACTCAGATTGGTGGTAGAGGAAGAGCACCTCACACCTCCGTGACCGGCTTAGGGAATCCGCGGCCTTACACCTCCGTGAACGGCATAGGGAATCCACGGCCTCGCTCTCCCTAGCCCTCGTCCTTGCTTGCCAGCCACCTCGTCGCCCCGACTGCTTGAAAAGGGGAAAGAGTAAGGACGGCTCGGAAGAGTGCTAACTAAGGGATTTTGCACGGTTTGGTGTCCTTAGAAATGGTGTCCTCGCTTTTCTTCCTCGTTCGGACAATAAGCATCTTTTGTTGCACCCCCGTCAAACAGTAAGTCACTCTTGTTCCAGTGTTTATTAGTTCCCTTTTTTGCCGCACTTGTTGTCTAGGCGTTGATCTTGTGTGCCCTATTTGGTGACTATTCAGTGGCTGTTTGTATTCGTTTGGTTGGTTTTGTTACAATATAATATTAAATTATGTTCGTCCATCAACTTAAACTTTTGGGTCAATTAACGGTGATCACATAAAATCTTTTATGGTATCAAAGCAAGAGGTTACACAAAATCTTCAGGTTTGTTGTATTAATGATGGTTTGAGAAGTTTAATGGTGAATAAAAATGTTTCCATCCTCGTATATACTGACATGCACATACAGTCAAATAGTTCTTTTCATAGAGAACGTAGATTTGGCATGAACGAGGCACCATCGCTCTCCATGAACTCATATTCGCTAACTTGTGATTGTG